CCCCTGGCAACTGCAAGCTATTTAAATAGATATACTTCTTCAAAGTTGCACTTCAGAACAAGTTTTATTAGTCTCTTTATGTAGGATCAGTCATCCTTCTGAGCAAGATATAAATGTCAAGCCCCTCTGTTTCTTGCTCTCACAAGCACAAAATTAAGAAGTAAACTAGGGTAAAGAAACAGTAAAAATCTACTTGGCAAAGGGTATCCCACTAGTCTCACTTGTTAGATGGGAGTGACTTGGCAACCATGAGGCAAGCACTCTCCTTAACAGAAGATCAGATTCCAATGCCCCCTGCTCTGCTCATCATTTTTAGCCTTGTGACTACACAGGCAAGACTGTACACCTGTGCTGTGCAGGATCAGAGCTTCAGAGATCAGCTTTCAGATCTGAGAGAGCAGCGCTTTTTAGAAGCACTGCACAGAATTTGATGACACAAGCCTGGGAGACCGTGATGGCATCAGTCAAGAAAAAAAAAATCAGAGAGAGAATGAATGAGTGTGACGATTGCAGGCTACACAAGATAATAATTGAGAGAGAAGCCTGAGTGACTTCTTCAGGAGGAAAGATACAGGATAAAGTGATGTGTGAATGCTCAATCATATTAGAAATTCTTGTGGGTATCATAAAGCTATGAGGTAACTGGCACTTATCTTTATATAGCTGGTATGTCTGATACAGCTCTGGAACACGCAAGAAAAATGCAATATAGTTGAGGTAGGTGAGGACGTTTGTTTGTCTTGGCAAAGAGCCGCTCATCTCATTACAGTCTCCTGCCAATTGAAAAGCAGTCTGGATGGAACCATATACACTATTATCACTAGGGAGAAGACATTTAAAATACTGCTAGTAGGAACCTTCTCACTCAGAAAACAAAAGAGAGATTTAAAAAATACTCTTTCAAATCCTCAGTTTTAAAAATCCCCACTGAAATACTGACAGACCCCATACTTTATATATATTAACACCTTTTTCAATACTTTCAGTGATCCTAAACTGCTCCTGCAGTTTACGTTGAATCCATGTGTATACTATGCGTTTTAATGACTGAAGGCACACCCTGAGAGCTGAATTTGTTTCTGTGACAGAGCAGAACCAAAGACATTTTAGCATTACTCTGATCTCTGTAGTCCCTTTGTTGGTGTGAGCAGAAAAGAAGAAACAGACAAAAGTTTGCTCTCAAAAATATCAGAGTGCAGTAATCTTATCTCCTCCCTTTTAGTGTCTCAAAAAAAACCCCCAACCCAAACCATTACAACCTATGTGTAAAGAAACACATTAATTATCCTGGCTCTGTTAAGAGCAGGTCTCCCAAGACAAAAGTTTCATCTTTCCTGTCTGTACTTGAGTGGAAGAAGGCAGGAACACAGTTTCTGTCCTGATCAACAACTTAATTTCCTGGAGAACATTTGGTTTGACACATCATTGAATTCCCTCCGAGGAATATGTTGCTAACTGTGCTCATGTTCAGCTTCTACTTTGGTCTGAAGTATGCTTAACTTCTAATTTCTCAGATATTTATAATGTGGGACTGAAGTGACATTAAGAAGTGTGATGTAATTGCTGTTTTTAAAACCGTTGTGGTATACAAGCAGGCCACTTCCTGGAACTTAACATCCAGCTGAGAAAAAGAGACAAGTACTAAGAAATAATGTCTGCAGCATATGATAAATATGGAGGACATTGAATTTTGAAGGGTAAATTATTTCAGCTCAAATTATTTCAACAAAATCCAATCTATTTATCTGAAAAAAAAAAAAAATCCCAAAAGACTGTAAGTGGCAAGTAAGACTGAGCAAGTATATTTGTCAAAATAAATTATTGCCTTTCAAGTGTAGGAAAATGACAAATGAGCAATTAAGGATTGCTATTCTTTATTTAGAACCAAAAAAGAGAGAAATGAGTCTGCAAGAAAAAATCTTAAGCTTTTTCTGCATGTTGCTTTGCTCCAACTGAGAGTTCTGTGAAGAGAGAAGAAATGCCTTCTGCAAGGTATTCATCTTCTACATTCAGGTTCTTGGTTCCCCTGCAGACCTGCTATGTGAATCTTGCTAAGACAAGTTTATGTTAATTAGTCTGTGGGAACTAGAAAGAGAATTTCTGCAGCTGGGATTCCTTTTTTAGGCAGCTGGTAGGGCTAATCTTCAGCAAAAAAGAACTTTTAATACCCAGTAATGTTAAGTATTCTGAGTATGAGGGAATTTGCTGTCATTATATTACTGACATAACACAAATAAGACCTTCCCTAGGATAGGATTTATGGATTGGGTCATCTCATATGTGTAAATACATGTAAAATCAAAAACGTATAAACATCCCATAGGTAAATTGAGCTTCCATAATTCCCCTTACCTGTTCAACAGACCAACTATCACGTGTAAAAATGGTTGTGATGGGCAGGCTGGGGGTGTAGGCAGGATTGCCTAAGGGTCTCCAGTCTGCTGTTAACAAAGAAATAAAAGATTGTATTAGTTCCACCAAAATTTGGCTGGGAAGACGGTCTCTGGCCACCGCAACTTTTACCTGCAAATGATGTTCTCCTTCAAAAGCTGCTAAGCGGGGATAACTGTCGTTAACACCAGGAACTGTGTTAACACCCGGGAAGGCCGGTTGGGCTTACATATTGCCCCAGGAAGACCCACCAGGAGGGAAGGATTTGGGCTGGAGTGTTGATCTGCTCAAGGGGAGGAGGGCTCTGCAGAGGGACCTGGACAGGCTGGATTCATGGGCCGAGGCCAACTGTATGAGGTTTAACAAGGCCAAGTGCTGGGTCCGGCGCTTGGGTCATGACAACCCCATGCAATGGTACAGGCGTGGGGAAGAGTGGCTGGAAAGCTGCCTGGTGGAAAAGGCCCTGGGGGTGTTGGTCGACAGGCGGCTGAATATGAGCCAGCAGGGTGCACAAGTGGCCAAGAGGGCCAACGGCATCCTGACTTGTATCAGGAGTGGTGTGGCCAGCAGGAGCAGGGCAGTGACCGTGACCCTGTACTCTGCACTGGTGAGGCCGGACCTTGAATACTGTGTTCAGTTTTTGGCCCCTCACTGCAAGAAAGATGTTGCATTGCTGGAGCGTGTCCAGAGGAGAGCAACAGAGCTGGTGAGGGGTCTGGAGCCCAAGGCTGATGAAGAGCGGCTGAGGGACCTGAGGATGTTCAGCCTAGAGAATAGGGGGCTGAGGGGAGCCCTCATCGCTCCCTACAACTGCCTGACAGGAGGGGGAAGGCGGGGGGGGTCGGTCTCTTCTCCCAGGTAACAGGTGATGGGACGAGGGGAAATGGCCTCAAGCTGCTCCAGGGCAGGGTTAGGTTGGACATTGGGAAAAATTTCTTCACAGAAAGGGTTGTCAAGCACTGGAGGGGGCTGCCCACAGAAACAGTGGAGTCCCCATCCCTGGGGGTATTTAAAAGCCAGGCAGACGAGGTGCTCGGGGACAGGGTTTAGTGGTGGAACGGTTAGGGTAACGGTTGGACTTGACGATCTTAGAGGTCTTTTCCAACCTAAACGATTTTATGATTCTATCATTCCAAGGATGCTCCCTCTCCCCACCACCAGCCAGGCCTTCACACCCGCCCGGGGCCACAACAGGAGGTGGACGAGGCACTGAGGTGGGGTGCCTTCCCATTGGCCGACGGGGAGGGCATATAAGGTTGGGAGAGAGGGGAAGCTTGTGATTGGATGGTGGGCGGTGGAATGCCTTGTGATTGGGTGAGAGGCGGGTGTGGGCGGTGAGGGGGCGGTGTTGTGGCGGGACGCGAGG